AATTTTAGGACAGACTTTTCATCAATTTCTTCAACATTTAAGGTGTAAGTGACATCTCCTAGACCCAAACAACTCTGTTCCTCTGCTTTCCTTTGACGAGCGAGCATGTCCTCGTCCCTCTGACGAGCAGACGCAGTATATCCTATAGCAGTTTGCCCAATGTTCTTTGCAGCACTCCTTATGTGAACTAGCCATTCGTTAACTTCACTGCAAACCCTCTTCTCAATGTGCATTTTAATCAGCGGCATTCTCTTCTCTATCAGAATCTTGAGTGTCTTGACAGGAATATTATGCAAAAAAAAATTCTCAATCAGATCGACAGCTTTTAAAGCTGGATAAAACCGACCTTCAGATATGTGAGTATTACACTTCACGCACAAATCTAATACTTGAACGCAATTTTTTGACATTTTAATGGCTTCCGTAACATTCTTCATAATCGAATAAGATTCAAGAAGCTCTTCGAGTTTCAAGAGTAATACAGTACTGACTTCTTGTAACTTGAAATTATCACTAGCAAGCTCCCCTTTCAGCTCTTCTGCGTCAACCAAAACACCACGTAGCTCATCAACTGCAAGAATAAAATCCTCATAATGAAGTTTGCAAAGATCCTCAATTTCAACTTCTTTCTTTCTTACTACATTCTTAAGCTGCTGCAAAAGAGATTCAGGCTTTCCTGTCTCAAAGGAAAGCCTGACCATAGGTCCCAAATCCTCCCCATTATTGACCATGGTCATGAGAATACTCTCCTCCCCAGTATCCCCTCCAATTTCAGTCACATTTCTCTTCTTCGTTTTCACACTCATTATATTTCTACTAACAAAAAAACCTGTTAAATATCAAATCCAAGATATGTTACCAAATTAGCAACATTAACCTACTTGTACAGATGATTTTGTAGAGATAGATTGCAGATGCATCCATACAAAAATGTTGTACATATAGCAGATCTCAGTTAGCAATCCCAATATAAACATTGGATTAAACTGCTTGTTCACACAAAGTGTACACCTTGATTAACACCCCGCTATATGTCAAAAATCTGGCAGTTGATTGGAAAAGGAGTTTTCAGGATCAATTTACCAAAATCTGCCAACTCACATGGGTGTAAAACAATGTGTCAACCTTTATATACATGTAGCATGATCCTTGTTCATGCATTCAAAGAACTGAATTTAAGGCTGGCCAATAATCGAAAAATCAAACGATGTCATCTCAAGTGACAGTGATAAAGAAAAAACCAATTACCCATTAGAGAAAAAGTTCAAAAGAACCATCTTTAAGAAAATCCTCTTTCCCCATTTTGAGATCCTTTATATACATGTAGCATGACCCTTGTTCATGCATTCAAAGAACTGAATTTAATGCTGGCCTATAATTAAAGAATCAAACGATGTCATCTCAAGTGACAGTGATAAAGAAAAAACCAATTACCCATTAGAGAAAAAGTTCAAAAGAACCATCTTTAGGAAAATCCATTTTCCCCATTTTGAGATCCTTTCAGTTATCAAATTACGTCAAATCAAAAGCCAAAAACAGATAATACACTAAATGAAGTGGGTATTCCGCATTTCTTCAAAAAAAAAAAAAAATATCAATTACCTTTTATTAATTAAAAAACTGTGGCTTTCACAAAACATTAAAAACTGTGTAAATCAGACTCAATTTCCAAAATGAATATCGTAAGAACAGAAAGTCGCAATAAAAAAAGACCAGCTCTCACCTGAAAGAAAAACTATCGATTCCCAGAATTGTCCTTTGCTTTTCTCGAGAATAATGTATATCAAATCTGAACGTTTGTTTGGTTTTTGGTCTCTAGTTTATTGGGTTTTTGTTTTGATTTCTATGCAATAATCTATTCGATGTTCTTAACGCACCATTTTAATATTCTGAAAATGATTTAACGATTATACCCCTGATTGGTTTAGGATACAGTAAATTTTAATAGAAGTTGGTTAAACATATATTTGAAAAGTTATTAATTTTAAAGACACGTGATTAAGATTAATCGTTGATTTTAGCTCAAATTTTAATCAAGACAGGCCTATAATGTTCTAACTTGTAATGTAACTTGTTAAGGTCGTCTCTTCGTTATGGTACTTTTTGTGAGATAAAGGTCCAATTAATCAAATGAATTTTATTCTCTCAAAGTGATTTATTTCTAAACCAATTAATATTGTTGGGTATATTATGACCATCTCGTTTGCTTAAAAATTGATAAAAAATGGTGAAATATATAATTAAAAATTAATAAAAGTTATGCATCTAATAAAATATTATGGACTATATTATTAACATCAAAAAATATGAGTAATGCTATTTGTAATCTCTCACTACGACACTTGTCATACGTGGCATACACATGACAGGTAGTTACTACTTGTCAAGTGTATGTCGCCACATATGACGATTGTCACAATGAGTGATTGCAAATAGTATTATTTCAAAAAAAAATGTCAAAATTTGTGTATTTTGGTAGGTGGAATGAATATGAGAAAGATATATGGCTTCTTTCAATATTTTTCAAATTTATTTTCAATTATATATTTTATAGAATTCACAATTTTTTAACCACACATTTGTTCGACTTTTATCAAAAGTCAACAAAATTTCAATTTGGGTAATTAGCACAAAAGGTTCATACTTTTCAATATTATTGTGAAAGTGTTTATCTTTCATTTTTTTTTTTGACATTTTTACCTATACCTTTCACATTTTATTGCGCAAAAGGTCATTTTCATCTATTTTCAATAAAATGGCAATTTTACCTTCTATTCAAATAAAACAGAAAGAAAAAATGAATTACCAACTACAATCATATCCTTAATTTTTTTAAAAATTACTAAGAAATCTTAAATTCTCTACCATTACCACTTTCACAACCTACCAAACTGCCACCTATAGATCCACATAGCACCTCCTTTCAGCTACCATGCCCACTGGACTCCACCACCACCAACCTCGCCTCTTCTCCCATCGTCCTCCTATACACGAATTTGAAAGAGCAGAGCACTTAGAACCCACCAATTTTGGTCAGATAATTCTCGTTGTGCATTGCGCCTGTAGAGAGTTTTGAACAAAAAATTGAAATGGTTGAAGGGATAATTTGTTCAATTAGACTCATACCCATTTGTCGTTTGGGTTTGTTCAAGGTTTAATTGATGCTAATTTGGGGATTTAGTGTTGTGGGATGCATGAATTGAAGGAGAAGATTTTGGCAAAATAGAAGTAGCGACTACTGAATGTTCTAGAATTACAACAAAATGATTTGAGGCAGTTTTGATTGATGTAAGACTATGTATAGGTTCGTCGAGGCTAGGGCGTAACCGTTGGTAGTGGTGTGCGATCGTGAGTGGCGCCAAAAGTGGGGATTGTCGTGAAGTGTTGTATATGGTAGTGTGGTATTTTAGGCTGTAAATGTAGTTGTTTCGGACAAATTGGTGACCAGTACTATGGAGGAGAATGTTGAGGAGAGTGAGATGAGGTTGGTGGTGGTGGAGTCCGACGGGTGCTGTGGTCGGAAAGTGATGCTATGTAGATCTATAGGTGATGGCTTGATAGGGTTGTGAAAATGGTTGTAGTGGAGATTTTAGGACTTATCAGTAATGTTTTTTAAAAAAGGACTATGATTGCAATTAGTTATTTATTTTTCTTTTTGTTTTATTGAATACGAGGGTAAAATCGTCATTTTATTAAAAAAATGGATGAAAATGACATTTTGTGCAATGAATGTGAAATGTAGAGGTGAAAATGCCCAAAAAATGAAAGGTAGGGACATTTTTGCACAATAACATTAAAAGCTAGACACCTATGCTAATTACCCTTTTAACTTCTATCTACAGCGTACATGAGCTTCATTTAGTAAAACACCCATCAAAGTGGCTTTCTCAATGCCCGTTTGGTTCCTATTATTTGAAATTTTAATGGTTTAAATATATGTATATATTTTTTAAAGAATATGTGAATAAAAAAGAAGAAAAAATTTTAGGATTACATGTAATATTATTTTATTGGAGAATATGTGATTGACAAAAAGAGAGAAAAAAATGAATTATAATTTTAATGGAGGTTAAAGAGAGCCTTAAAATGTTAAAAAACTCGAAAGTTTGTTGACCAAAAACATTTTTCTTTAGAGAAATAAATGGACTTATATGGACTGCCCAAATGTTTTTAAGTTGCGCATATATATTTATATATATTAGTGAAATAAATGTGTATACATATTATTTGTGTTTTTATACGAAACAAATGATAAAAAAGTCCCAAATTCATTATTTGTTACTATGAACACTCGATCATTGAACCCATATAAACACTACTGCAACTTAAATCCGTTAACAAATTGATCGATTTAATCCTCAAAATTGGTAGGTTTGCCCTCAAAACTATCTTGATCCGATTTTAATTCAATCATTTGATATTTGATTGAATATTTTATTTACCCAAATGATAGGAAGAATTCAACTTATCTATGCCCTCTCCCTCGTTAATCACATGGTAAATCATTCATTTCTTTTATACGGATAAAAACTTAAAAGGATAAAGCTTAAGCTTCAGCTCGAGCTTTAAAAGTAAGTTTAATTAGCTTAAATTTAAGCTTTGCCAAACATGGCCTTAAGCTGAATGGATATTTTCCAGCCCCAAACGGGTGAATAAATCTAATCTGTTAACTTCGTTTCAGACCCTCTCCAATCGGTGAGAGGGATAACCCGAGAAAGAGAGGGTTTACCTGGTTATCCCTTTTCTTCCCCTCTCTCACTTTTGCTCTCTACAGAGAGAGCCCACTATCTATACATACATATATAACCTATATATATATTTGCCTATTTTATATATCTAGGTATCAGAGAATGGATTGTCAGTTATCTCAAAATAAGGAATTGACTTCACTGCAGCATCCACCAGTGGCAATTGAAGCAAATGTGAACGAGGAGCAGAAGGAGATGGACCCACCGGCGTACATGACAATGGTGGATCCTGTCCTAGTTGAGGCGCTGCAAAATCCTCGTCATCGCCTAACCAGTTTGTTCTTTTCCCTCTTTATGCTTTCCAGTTTTAATTTGGATTAATCTGTAATTTTCCATAGATTTTGTAGTTGTAATTTCGTTTAATGTTGCTAATATGTAATAGGAATTTGTGATTTTGGGTGTAATGTGTAATGAATCTGTTAGTTTTTGGTAATTTTTGGAAAATTGGGTTAGATCTGGTTGGATTCAATTGTGGGAACTGGAGGTTTCTTGTTGTTTATTTGATTGGATGTGTAAATGTAGGTAATTGTTGGTGCCTACTGCCTACCATTTCGTATGTCATAATTGAGATAATCCTTTGCATGGAGCGTGTAGAAAAACAAAAGAAGCTTGCTAATAGTATTTGGTTGATTTGCATTAGTGGTGAGTGTTTCATTACCTTAGCATTGGTCCCAATATTTTCATGAGCACACACTAATTGCATTCTATTACATATAAAACCTGAACCTCTTTCTGTACCTTCTTTTAGTTTCCCAAAGTCAATGAACAAAAAAGAATATAATGAGAATAATTATGCTCTGTTTGACAAAGATTTTGTAAATTTCAAACAAATTGAAGCTCTCAGCAGAGAACACAAATCGTCATCTTGTTATGATGTTGTATTGAGCTCTCAATGGACCATATAATTGGAATAAGAGGAAAGGAAGAATAATGATTATTAACATAAGTGATTGTGTCACCTGTCAAGTTCTCAGATTTATCATGGTTGGAATTGAATGGTTTCTTTCTGAATAACTTGTGACTCTGCTTGGGATATCTTCTCTCAAAATACATTTACATAATATGGCTGTGTGACTTTAAAAAATCCATGACTATAATGAGTTAATTCTATGATGGGGTAAAGTTTATGAACATATGACCTTCTCTTTGCATTTCAGGTTTCTTTGTGTTAATAATTATTTTTTTTCTGTTTATTGCTTGCTTTATCTGCCTGTCCTATATCTTTTCGGCCCTTGTCTTATTGTTTCATTTTGTGCATTCTACTTAAGATGGAATGTGGAAATCCTTTTCCCCATTCTTCAAAGAAAGTCTTTCGAAGGTCTGGTCTTGAAGTTGTAGCTGATGAGATTGCTTTAGTAAACTAGCAGAATTTTTTTCCATTGCAATTGGACTTTAAAGATTGGAAACTTTGAAGTGAATCCTTACGTAAGAAACGGGTTTAAAATGTTCATTAAATGTATTCTGGTGTGGTTTATCCTTTTTATGAATTTTGTCTTATGAAAGGTATGTACGTATATTTCTTTCTATGAAGGATAAATAAGAAGTTTAAGAGCCAACATTCATTTCTTTTATTTATTTATTTATTTGGTGGTCATTTGCATGTGAGAGCATTTGGCCTTGCTGGTTATATCTGAATGTGCTGATATTGTTTTAACATTCTAGTCTATTTATAATTTTGTTTTTGTTGATTTATTGCATCTTTGTCTCCTCGTTCTGTGGATAACTAGCAAATGAGGTTTTTTTTTTTTATTTATTTTTAACAAACCAGTTCTACGAATGGAACTCGATATACAAAAGTTCTTGCAGAATTCTGATCTACAGCAATTTGAGTTTCCACACTTCCCTACTTCATACCTTCGTCTTGCTGCACACCGTGTAGCTCAACATTATTGTTTGCAGACTATGGTTCAGGATAATGTCATGGATGGCCAGGGAATCCGTATTTTGGTCATAAAGAAACCAGAAAGTAAGTTCCCCGTTGTCTGTTTATCAGATGTACCAGCTAAACAGTCAGAAAATGACAAACTTGATCAAGTAAAGATTGTGATAAAGCCAAGGCATTCTAACGCTTCTTCAAATGAGATCAATGGAATGGGGCTTAAGCGCAGTTCAGTTAGAACTGTGGAAGAGAGGAAGGAGGAGTATGACAGAGCACGAGCTCGTATTTTCAGTAGTCCAATTAGTTCCGGGGCAGAAGATGCATTTGCTCGGGTTGCTTCTGTTGTGAATAGTTTCAATGTAGTTAAAAGCGAAGTTTCAAGGAACTTGGATGTCAATGAGGACAAGAGCAGTAGCAGCAGGGACATTGGTAGTTCTTATAGAGTAGCCATTTTTAGGGACAAGGAGAAGGATCTTACTGACCCTGATTATGATCGCAGTTATGAAAGGTACATTTAGATTATACGACCACTATCTATTTATCAGTTCGAGAATGTGTGGGTTATTTCTCAAGTTATTGCATTGCCTAAAACCTGGATGCTCAAAGAAGTAAAATTGAAGAACTCTGTTACAAAATAAATATATTGACTGAAGCATCGAACAAATGTCTCAAAAGGTTATATTTTCTTGGTTTAGTCATCTTCAATATGTTCAGACGTTCAGCAGAATAATCCTTTTTTCTTTTTTTTTCTTTTTTTTGCATAATTTAACGTACTCCTTTGTGTATCATTGATTCTTCCATTACTGTGTGTCTAATGTATGATCATGGTAGAAGCCTGGTAAGGAGACATTTTTTACTGTCTTAAGTCTTGCCCACTGGCCTCTTTAGCCAATCTTACACTGGCCATCCTTTCTTCTGATATATGTCCGCAATTATTATCCTCAGAACTGCCCTTCCAAATAAAAAAAAATCAAAGTCCGTGGCGTTTTCTTTTGTTATTAGAATTTATATGTAAATCCAAGGCATTTGAATTGCTGACCTTCAAAATTTTCAATTTTTTTTCCTTTGCTCTTTCATTTAATTTTCATACACTTGTACTCGGGAATATGTTCTCTATCAGTTTAGATAGAACACTTATTGCAGCGTTCTTCATTCTCATTTTGTAGAATTTCCATGAAACTTCACAGTAGGATAATAATGTCACTCGATTAACACTTGATGTTTTGGATCATTGCAAAGCTCAACTTGTCTAGCCGTTTTCATATTATGCTTTTGAGTCTGTATAGGCATAGTTTTGAATAGGGAAAGTTGAATATGGTAGACAACCTAGGAATAGTTTGTGAAGGGGGAAAAGATGCTATGCTTAGGTGTGTACGGATGGTACATGGTAATGCTAATGCATATAGTCACTTTGACTGTCAATTCCCTTGCCATCAACTCTCAACTCTATATTTTTATCTATTTCCATGTAAACAGTCTAAATTACACTCCTTTTTAATTGTGCAGATATGTTAAAAACGTCCCAAGCGCTCAACATTTCAGCTCATCACCTTTTAATATGCAGAAATTCCAGCCTCCATTTGTGCAATATGATTCTTTTTTTCCCCAGCTGAGTCAGATGCCAGTAGCTCAAACTCCCGTCAATTATCAAACCCCAATTATGAGCCCATATTGTGCAATGGGATTGAATCAGACATCTCGGGATGCTTTATATGTGCAGTGGCCAAGTCAGTCCACGATGCATTCACGGTCTTATGATCAACTAAGACATGCCTTTTGTCAGGTAGGTGTTAGCTTCTTTCTCCATTACTAATGTACGATTCTGGTTTGGATTTGTGCATTAGTTCAGATATTGGTACACAAGTGCCAGTAGTCATGGGGTAACTGTGATTTTTTGTTGGCAAATCTATTATTTCATCGGTTCATTTATTATTGGATATCAAAATGATGCAACGGCAGCAATCACGTGTTGACATCACACCATAATGCATAAATTGCAAAATGTGTTCTGATATCAGAAGATGCTAACACATTGGTAATACTCTGACAATAATGTCGATGAGTCCACAATAAACATGATTTTTATAAGCTATCCACTTGAGTCTATATTTGCAAATTCGACAACTAAAGCAGTCTCTTATGTTTGATGTAGGTTCCCTTTCTGTGAGCAGCCCCTAAGTTTTGATTGTTCCCTGAACCATAGATGACAGTTCAAATATCAGCTGGGAGAATGTATTACTGAACTAGACAGTCTTGTTCTACATAGGGTTTATTGATTTAGGTCGAAGTGTCAGAAACTGTTAAACTTGATGTTTTGATTTAGCTTCGTTTTGCTTTTGCTTGTGAGTTTGATCTAAGTTGGCGAACAATTTATGGACCAACGATCATTGTTTGTATGATATTTTATGATTTCAAAATTCTGTTGGCTTGACATTGTGGGTGCTATAAATGTTGTGTTCATTGGCAACTTGTTTGGTAGGGTGGACCGGACATCCCTGGACAGTATCAGAGAGGAAAAATATGTTCAATAATTTTGTCCATTGTAAGCAAATGCGCCTATGGTCCAACCAGTTGGGAAAGAATCAATAATTTCTGTGATCCTATTTAAAGTAGAAGTCTTTACTCTTTAGCCTCTATTTGGTAGCCACTAAAAAGAGCTTTATTTTATTTTATTTTTTATTATTTTTATTTTTTTTAAATGCTCTTTGAAATTGTATTTTTTTGGAGAATGTGATTTAAAAGTTGGAAAAAAATTGGATTCATATGCAAAATATTTTATTGTGTGAATGTGGTAGAAAATGAGTTTGAGAAAAAAGAGTTTTGAGAGAATGGATGACAAACAGGTGCTTAAGTCAATGCAAAATAGGTCTTAATTATTTGAATTGTGATTTCCCTAAGGGCGTGTTTGATTGTTAATGCTTTTCATGGAAAATATGTTTTTTCCATCAAAATTTCTATTTTTATGTAGTTTGATTGTCATTTTTTTTGTGGAAAACATTTTCTTAATTTCATGATCACATTTTACTCAAAATCAAGGAAAATGTTTTCTCTGGGAGGGGGTATGAATTTATTTTTTAGGGAATTCACTATTTCATCTATCTACCAATAAAAAATGGACAAGTATTATGTTTTCTAAATTAAAAATTAAATCAATCAAATGCATTTAATTAACAATTTTTATGAAAGTTGTTTACAATCAAACGCACCCTAATTTATTCTAGAATTACTGTCACCTCTGACGTATATTTTCATCTGTTTCTTGTCCTATTAAATCTTGAAAACAAGAACGTCCAATATTATGGGGTTAATTTAAGCAATTAACAACACCCAATGACACTTTACTGTGATTACAAGGTGGTGCTATTCAAGATGGATTTAGAGGGATAGTTGAGATTTTTGTTTATTCTTGAAAATCGAAAACAAATCTAAAGCACATCACATGGAGCCAAATAATGGGCTGTGAATAATTCTGTGCCAGCTTCATATCATATTAAATCCTATTTTATGTTTTCTTGATCTTATAAACTATAAATTAATGGATAATATGGGATTCGTTCATTAATTGTACGCTACTAAAGATGGGATGAAGACTGTGTAATCTGGCTGTAAACTTTTAAACAATGAATGAAGTCTTTCATTTAAAGCAAAACCCATTTTCTTTTATTAAGTCCTTGTTTGATCCAATTTTTTCGAAAAAAATGTATTTTTGAATAGTGTTTTAATCCATTTCAATCATATTTTTCAATAAAATAATATTACAAGTAAATTTAAAAAAATTTCTTATTTTTTAACTACACATTTCATATCAAAACGCGATTCAAAAATGCATTTTTTGATCAAAATGGAGTTCAAGCAAGTTATTGAAACTAACTATTCATATTTAAAAAGATTACTGTGAATGCCCGTTTGATTTTCATTTTTATTAAAATGTATTTTTTTCTCACTTCTTTTTAATCACACATTCCTCATTAAAATAATATATATGCAAATAAAAAACATTTCCTTATTTTTTATTCACAAATTATCCATCAATCTACTATTCTAAAATTTATTTTTCCATAAAAATGGATGTGAAACAATCTCTTAATAACATATTTGACATCAAATGAACCTCAAATTGTGAGAATCGGAATTGATCTGATGAAGAATTTTGTTACCTTATGATGGTTATAATTTTTTTGAATCAAACAAAATATCAATTTTTTTTTTTATAATTATCCTGTACAAAATCAATTTCGAAAATCCAATTTCTTTCTTTATTATTTTTATTATATCAACGTATATTGGCGATCAGCGCATAATTGAGCCAATTGGTTTGGATATAATTGTTAAACAAAAGACCAAGAATCGTGCCTGTATAGTAGGCGGGTGGCACGCTTTTTATTTTTTTAATTAATGCTGGATTAGCTATAATTAAAAAATCATATGACCCATACTCCTCTAATTCCAATCCTCATCAGAAAACCCACTCCGTCCGGTATGGACCGGTCCGGCCCGGTCCTTCCCTGCCTTGTCCACAAAACTAGAAAAACTGCTTCAAATTTACTTGATGTTTTAGGTAAATTGGTTATTTTATGACTGTTTTAACGATTCTAAATATTCAATTAATTAAATTTTGAAACAGTTTTCAATTTTTTTCAATCGAGTGTCTGATATGCTGTAAACCAATTATATGGCTGTGGGTTGAAAGCAACGATTAAGATTTTTAGTGTCTAATACATAAATTTTCAATTTAAAAACCTTTTTCCAATTTGCCCAAATTTTATGTGATAGTTGAGTTGCCTAGCACCATTTTGAGGGTACACTAAGAATAATTTCGATGTTAAATTTCAAAATATAGAAAAATGATGTGTTTTCACGATTCTATCACATAATATTGAGCTTTGAAGTCCATGAAATTGCGTGATTACCTTTGACATGTTCAATTGTCCCCACATCCACCTGACAACCCACACCACTCGAAGATTACAATTATTTATGAAATGCGCATTCCTTCATCAATATCCACATCTCGTGCGATGTCTTTTTAGATATTTTCATTACCATAGTCTTTTTCATGTCATTATTCCAGTTTTATGCTACCTTTTGTTTTCCATTTCTCATAAAACGCATAGTCAGTCTCAAGGTGGGACCCGTGGAATTTATTATTTTTTAAGATGAATTATGATTATTCATTTAGTTCACTTGATATTGTCATCTTTTGAACCATTCAAAGGCCTACCCACCACGTATATGATGCCTCACCTCTCCCTCCCTCGTCGAGGTGGATACCTGAATATCCTGCCTATGTTTAGTTGGAGATTTATCTAAAGAATTCTTCATTCTTTTCGACTATGATTAACTATATATAGATGAAAGGTCGCATATCAAATAACTTTACAATGACACAAAATAAAATAAATCATGGAATATCGAAATTTCAGCTCACATTTTGATAACATTCTAATGTCTGCAAAAGGTAGGGATTATTCAGCTGCAAGTCTCACATATAAGGAGCCAAATTCTTCATGGAAGATATCGAACAGTTCAGATTAACTATTTTAACTATCATCGCAATATCAATGGCCTAAATCTTGAATTCTTTAACCCTGAAGTCAGATATGTATCTATAAATCTTGGAGAACTAACATGTAAATCTAACAGAGCCTTCTCGAGTCGTACAAAAATTTCCAAATATCGTCGCTTGGCGAGTTCATTACAAGGTTCTTGTAGGAGTACAGTACATTGGAGAACTAAATCATTTGCCAGCTAATAGGAGAGATCTTTTCGGTTATGAAAAGAATTATCTCACCTGTTTGTTCAAGATTCCAGACTCGACCATGGCAACTAAATACGAACTTGTGGTACGAGCTGAGCCATACGAGGAAAATTAAGGGGACTAAAGTTCAGAAAGCATTGCAAATTACACAAATTGCTTATTACGACTCCAGAAATTTAAGGAAATGCAGCTGCAGTTAGAGTTTGTTTGACAGGATACAAATGTAGAAGGAACATCACATATCACTAGAATTGTTAAGGTTTCTCCGCAAGATTTCCAAATATCAAGGTTTAAATGTCTGCATAAAACAACAGCATTTACAAGAAGTAGGACTCGACTCTACGCAAGGCTATGGCCTAAATCTTGAATTCTTTAACCCTGAAGTCAGATATGTATCTATAAATCTTGGAGAACTAACATGTAAATCTAACAGAGCCTTCTCGAGTCGTACAAAAATTTCCAAATATTGTCGCTTGGCGAGTTCATTACAAGGTTCTTGTAGGAGTACAGTACATTGGAGAACTAAATCATTTGCCAGCTAATAGGAGAGATCTTTTCGGTTATGAAAAGAATTATCTCACCTGTTTGTTCAAGATTCCAGACTCGACCATGGCAACTAAATACGAACTTGTGGTACGAGCTGAGCCATACGAGGAAAATTAAGGGGACTAAAGTTCAGAAAGCATTGCAAATTACACAAATTGCTTATTACGACTCCAGAAATTTAAGGAAATGCAGCTGCAGTTAGAGTTTGTTTGACAGGATACAAATGTAGAAGGAACATCACATATCACTAGAATTGTTAAGGTTTCTCTGCAAGATTTCCAAATATCAAGGTTTAAATGTCTGCATAAAACAACAGCATTTACAAGAAGTAGGACTCGACTCTACGCAAGGCTACACTAGGAAACGAGAGAACAAAGGAAATCAACAAGAAAATACAGTACCATATTAGGCAGTCTCAGGACAGCAATCCTTCGCTGCACGATCAAGAGTTAAACAATTGTTTGCTTCAGACATCGACATACCAACTCGAACATTTTATTGGTAGATTTCCCATGCTTTTAAGTACTCATTTCAACGCCGGTTATGACAATATTGCTGCCAAAAGTGACATCATGGTCGATATCCGTCACTGGTAGCCCGGGGTCAATATCTGTCAACAGAACCGACATGGCCGAAACATGGTAACGACTTAATTACACTTGCAAAATCATGGAACTGGACTCCTTCACAACAGAATCGACACGATGCAATGACTCATTCTAAAAGACACGAACCAGGTCCTTACAAAGAATATAACTACTAAATCATTTCATGATGACCTGATTATGCGAAGAACTCAATCTAGAGCATCAACAACACCTATGAGCATAAATTTAACACGGTACTACATCTAAATCGAATGCTAGATAGTTTCATCATGAAGGATTTTTTCACAATACTCAAAAGCAAAATTGACAGGAAAATGCAGAGTTTCAATAAAAATTCGATAATTTCTCCATATTCAATCATCACCAGTAGGAAACAGAGTAAGAACTTTCCTTCCATTTGTGGCAGTGGCTGACTCCAACTCCTCCACATACGGCAGTGGCACCACCGAGGAACCATTTCTACCGAGCACCGGTGTACCCATCCTTTGCACCTGCTGTTGTGACTGCCTCATAAAGGGATGCTCAAATTGCCCATTGGGTGGTGAAGTCCCAAAATGCCTGAATTGCTGCTGCAGCTGATGGTGGTGAGCCCCTTGCCCCGCCACCGCCATCTGATGATGATTCTGCATTGCTGCAACTGGCAAAAATGGGAGAAAATGGTCGGAATTTGCCCTGCTGGGATGCAGAAAATGCGCTGGCACTGGCGAGCTGGCGAATAAATGGTCCATAGCAGGGTCTACACCCACGGCAGCCAGTGCTGCCGGAGAATTATTTCCACCAACACCGCCACCATTACTCGAAATTCCCTGCATCCGCTTCAAATAGAGCCTGTACTTCTGCAAATGACTAGCAACATTTTCTCTAGTGAGTCCATCCACACTCATGAGCTGCATTATGGTCTTGGGGACAGCATTTTTGATTCCCAAATGGGCCACAGCATCCACAAACCTCTTGTGCAGCTGAGGCGTCCACACGAGCCGCGGCCTCTTCAACGTCCGTGCCGGTTCATCTCCAGCCCCGGATCCCCCGCCACTGCCGCCCTCTCCTCCACCGCCCAAATCAGCTGAGTCAAATTCCGCCGATGAGTTAGCAGTAGACTGAGGAAGCTGCGACGGCGGTGGCACCGTCGCCGCCGCTATTTGATGTGGGTTTCTAATATCGAAGGCTAGAGCTAGATCAGTCGAAATTAGAGATTGGGATAAGGGAATCAACTCATCTGGTGATGGCAATTCATCTTCCCATTTAGCAAACCAATTCGAGTCCACTTCCCTCATTATCCCCGTCTTCCCTTGAATAAATTCCTTGAGATGAACAGTATATGTATAACAAGAAATTGTAACGGGTCAACTTTTTTTCCCTCTGATCTTGGAGCTAAGATTAAATTTAAAAACCCAATTTGGAAGGGAAAACGAGGGAGCGTGAAATTAGGGGATGGAACTAGAAAGGGTTTTCATATTTCCATTTCTTAGTATAAAAAATGGTGAAAGTTCAGTGTAAACTTCCCTTGCATGAGGAGAGGAGCTCACGTCCAATTAATGTGCGGACCCGATCCCCATGTGAGGGGATGGCAAGGCTCGATGTATGTGTAGCGATCTTCTTTGAATTTTTAACTCGTCCTAACTTTGGTTGGGACATAAGTCGTGATTCTTTTTTTTATCCCTCTTTCCAAGGAATCGATCAATAAGAAGTTGCAAGCTAAGCCTCCATTTGGCTCCCATTATTTGAATTAATAATGGGGAAAATAGTGTTTTTTGAAAAATTGATAGTTGTAAAAGAATGAAAAGTATTCGATTTACGTGAAATATTATTTTATTGAAGATTATGTGGTTTAAAATATGAAAGAGAAAAATTTAAATTAAATTGATGAGTTTTGAATGAGGCCAAAGGGAGGCTAAATAAATGTTTCTTGAGTAAAAATTAATTGTTAGCAAATTTTAATTTTGAAAATGCACATTTTACATTTGGAGGGTGTTTGACACTCATTTTTATGGAAAAAAATGAATTTTAGAATGGTAAATTGATTCAGAATGTGTGGAAGAAAAATAAGAATTTTTTTATTTACGTGTAAATAATTTTAGTGAATAATGTGTGGTTAAAATGAAGAGAGAGAGAAATGTATTTTGATAAAAATAATAATCAAACGGGGCCTTAATTATTCAAGCTTTAACTAATAATGCACTACTTATTTTTTAGAATTATACAAAGTACTTTTTAAGTTTCGCCGAATGTATAGTTTTGGGTGTGAATTGTGATTTTGATTTTATGCATTTGCCTTAGCGCGTGTGATACACTCTTCTGTGGGAGTTTGGGTAAGTTAACGGGAATGTTATTGGGATTAGGGAAAATGTAGTAATGATCTCTGGATTTGTAGGCAAGGTAAAAGGCCAAAAGCGGAGAGAAAGTAGGGAAAGTGAAGGAAAATGTCAAGACACTGTTGACTTTTCGTGTAATAATTTATTAACTTTTAGGATGAATAAAATTAAATTCCAAATAATAAGTAACTGGTTTGGGCCAAGTTATTTAAAAATTTATTTTTAACCACATTTTTTCAATAAATTAATTTTTACATGTAAATCAATCTTTTTTCTACATTTTAACCACACATTCTCAAAATATATATTGACAATTTGATTGAATAAAAAATAATATTTTAATAATTTTTAATGTTAGACGAAGATAGGCGATGTTTGTGAAAAACAAAGATTGAAAATAGTTTAGCACTTGTTGGTTGGGTTCGTCGGCCGCTTATACATTTCTAGAAACTTTTACGAAAACATTCAACTACGGTGGTGCTAATTGAGAAAATTCGAAAATTTAAATATTAACAACATATTACAATGCAACCAAAACCGCTTGTTTATTAATCCCAAATGTTGAAAACGATTCAGCAGATCCCAAAGAATGATCCTCTGAAAAAATGAAGCTTTTTTCTCACTCGGTGGTAGGAGTGCAGCAGCTCGAGTATTTTCCATAGTTCATCTTCAGGTTGTGATCTGCAGCCACCGGATGGAACACTCCCTGATCCATATTATCAAACAAACATGAGTTAGTTCTAAGGAAGGGAGGGGCTTGTATAATAATCGAATCACACTTACATAAGTTGCAGTTTAAGAGTCGCATTCCAGAAGGGAGCTCTCTAAACTGCTGAGGCAGCTCGGGACGAAATAGACCGCATACGAGTTATTTTACTTAATCAAGTCTAGAAATCTTATTAACCTTACTCAAGTTGAAGAATACTTACATCAGAATCTCAAGCGCAAGAGGAATACATATAATGTCGGAACTGTTAAGTTCCATTCCAATTCACTGAGAATTCGTTTTCCATACACAAGATCTGCTGGTTAGAAAATGATTTGTCTGAGATGCACACTAAATCATTAACCTGCAAAAGAATGATCATATTTAAGGTTGTGAAGGCACACTTGAGTACATTACAACGAATTTTTGTCGACCTCGGGAACCCAAATTTCTTCATATCTAGAAGCTATAAGCATAGCATTGATGCCCCCACCAACTGCAGTTCCCTCCTTAATGTAGTCTTCATAGCAAGATATCGATCAAGAATGTTGATTGTCAGGCAAAGAGTGCTCTCATTCTTTCATTTATCTCAGGTTGTGAATCAATGTGATCGTTAACTCGGTTCTCATTCTGGGTTCTTTCATTTATCTCAGGTTGTGAATCAATGTGATCGTTAACTCGGTTCTCATTCTGGTCATTAATTATTTCCATCGGATACAGGACAAATAAAGTTATGGAGAAACCAAAATACGAACCAGTATAATATGTATGTATACCTCAACAGACTTATAAAACTTGTATATTTCTTCGACATATTCAACATACACATCTGCGGCATCTATAGCTATTTGCTCCTTCGGTTTCTTACTCAGGCCACAAGCAGCCTGCATATTGGAACGAGACAACCACAGCAATAAAAACACTAAGCCTCGTTCTTTATTAATTTAGGGCTGTCTGAAGAAAGAAGATGCTAAATAGTAAAATTTAAAGGCAACCGCGCAAAAAGTCAATGTCAAAGTTGGAGCTTTTTTCTTCAATGACCCTTCTCCAGCCTTTTCCTGTTTCATCGGCTCTGCTTTCTTAACAACTTCTTCAGTATCAGGACTAATGTTGATAATCTCTTCGGGTTTTTTGGTTTTGACATTGTCTTTCTTCTGAGCCTTATCTTTCTCAACAATTTCTTCAGTATCTGGACTAACTTTAATAATCTCCCCGGGCTTTTTCGGTTTGATAGTGGCTTTCTGATTAGGTAGAGAGCTCCATTTGTCATAGCTTCCTTCTTGTTTTCAGCTGCTGCTTCCTGTGCATTAACAACAAAACATGAAAATCAAATACTAACCAATATAAGAGACAAACGCATTAACTGTGAGATAATTTCTCCGGTGGAAATTTCTCCGGCAGATTCTATGGATGAAAGTGCATGATACCATTTGGCAAAAATCTAAGCTCAACGATACAAACCACGTTGGTGGTGAGGTTGAAGAAGACTTGAGTCGGTTGGTTCGGGTTTTGTAAACTTTGAAAATTTATTTTTCGCATTGTAGTTGTAATAATTATTGTATACTACATTATAAAACTCTACAAATGGTATCAAAACTTAGGCTAGTGATAAAAAGTGTTTCAAGAACCTGAAAATCGGATTGGAAGTTGAAGAGGCTTGGGTTTGGTCAAAAACAAGGTCACCCAAATCTTTAAACTCATTTTCTGGACGATCGACAGTGGAGGCGACAGTGGTGGTGTTGGTTTTCAGTTTGATGCATTGTGGAAGCAAATATAGCCTTGGTGGTGGAAGCTAAAAAAGAGAACTTTTTCGTTGGCAACTCGATGGTGTTTCCTAGGTTGCAACAGCTCGAATTTTCAAGTTCTAACACGCCCCCTTGAATTTACAATTGTGACATTTACTTCTTGTGATATCATCGTGTGTCATCTAGAAAAGCAAATATACATCCATTGGTTTTTTTGCAAAACATTGTTTGCTACCATGGGCTTCTCAATTTGAATTATTGCAATTTAATGGTAAAGGAATAATCCTTTTGGAAGAAAAAAAATAAAAGCTATTTGTCGAGTTTATAATGTAGCGTACATTTACAACTACAATGGGAACATAAACTATCAAAGTGTAAAAATCGAACCAATCGACCTAAAGCTTCTTCATATTTGTGCCACACCAGATCATGTACCGTCATTCACGAAAATGGCAATGGATAATCGAGAGAACCGCTGGAAGCGACCAAGAATATCACCGGACAAATGAACTCTCCCATTTAGTTCCTCTCTATATTCTTACCAACACCACATCCAAGTGAAAACAAGTCTTGCAATTATAAAGTCAAAACCATTTGAATTCAAATTCAAATATTGTACTATGCCAAATCACAATATCCATTAGTGTGATCTTACCATTCGCAAGTACTTTTGTTCCAATATCCATTAGTGTGATACCTCACCTCAATATTTATAAGGTAACTATGTTTTTAGCCACATGTAACTTCTTTTTTAAATTGCAATAATCCCATGCAAAGTCAGAATATATCTCTTGTGCTCTAACTTCTTTTTTAAATCCCCCCTTTTAATCTTAACAGTTGTTTGGGTACAGTCCAATGAAGTTTACCTAGATTCATAAACCTACTTAAGAAACTAACTCCATAGCAAGATTCAGTCTCATGGTAATCATAGAATACATTACAGATTTAATGGCATTGGCATATGAAACATTAAAAAGTTTTTCATCTTTATGATTTTAATTTTACGAGAACTAGCAAGCAACATGTATTGTTAACAATAAATAAATTTCACAGTCTACTTTAGAGTTATTGAAATAAATTCACTCTCTTAAAATTAATTTTAAGCACGTAAGCATCAAATCTTTTATACTTATTGCCTAGGACTCTACTTAAAACCATAAAGGACTTTTTAAGCAAGCACGCAAGTTTAGATTTCCCCTTCACCTCGAACCCTTGAGGTTGAAACATGTAAATCAATTCATCTAAAAAATGCCGTCTTAACATGTAGTTGCTTCGACTCCCAATCATACTGGACAACTAAGACTAACTCAATCGTACTTGATAACCTGCTAACCTAATAGATTTGATCTCCTCTCTTATGGCCTTTTACAATGATTCACCTTTTAATTCTTTAGTTTTTCAACTCTCATTTTTGTCTAGAGACTGGATCTCCTCTTTCATAGTCTTTATCCAATTTTCAGATTTTTTATCCATTGTTGATAACCATTCAAGGAAAGTTTAGGAATATGAAACTTTTAGGAAGTTCAATTCCAAGTTGAAAATCTAATGGGGAAGAATGCGAATTTGATGCATGTTTGTATTTCAGTAACTCTAAAGTAGGCTGTGAAGTTTATCTATTGTTATAAGTGGATGACATGTGACTTGCTACCTCTAGCAAAGCTGAAATCATAAAAATGAAAAACTTTTGAAAATTGAAATTTGACATGAAAGACTTAGGAAGACAAGAAAAGTCTTGGCATTAAAAAGAATAGGACTAAAAATCTTGGAATGAAATTTGATAAGTCTATCAATGTACCATGCACAATGCCCTAAAACTGAAGAAGAAATGCATGAAATGAGTAATGTTTTTTATGCTAATGTCATTGGGTCTATTATGTAGAACTTTATAAAATATATGTAGATTCTGACCTTGCAGTGGATAAAGATCAGAGAAAATGTATTACCTCTTACTTCTTCACTTTAGGTGATAATTGTAACACTTGGAAATCATAGTTGTAATCTACAGTTACCCTCTCCAATATTGAAGCAAAATATGTTGCATTAATTGAAGTTAAAAAAGACTATGGCTAAAAGGCCTTCTATGTAAATTAAACTTCTTAAATGATAATGCTATGATTTTTACTCATAGTCAAAGTTCATTGATTTTGTGTAAAAATTCTGTTTATCTTGAACGTTCTAAGCATGTTGGGGTGAAAGATAGCTTCTTGGTTAATTGACTGAGCTAAAGTGAGATATGATGATGAAATAAGACCATACTAAGGATATCACTTGTAATCGGAGAATTTGGCGATAGATTATATGTGATCCAATGTGAAGATTTATGAGGTGAATCACTTAAATCCACTTGGCACAAGATTATTGGCCTGGAGTGTTTGGCAATGATTGTGCTAGTTTGGTATAATTGTGGACTATAGATTAAATCCAATTGTTACTTTCTATCATCTAGTCATATCACATGCCATTGGTTTTGAATTTTGAATTCAAATGATTTTGCCTCTATAATTATGCTTATTCACTTGTTTCACTTCGACGTGGCAAAAACACAAGAAAGAGAGAGCATAGAGAGGAAACCAAGTGGAAAAAAATAATTTCGCTGGTGGAAATTCTTGGTGGCCTCTGGCAGATTCTTTTCTTGGTATATCCATTGTCGAATCCGTGGACGAAAGTGCATGATTCGGTGTGGAGACCTTAGGGACTAGCTTTCCCTCAACCCCAGGAATCGTAACCTGATTACCAATGTCAATAAGTGCAGGACGATTCTTTCTTTCTGCTGCCACGTTCTTCTGCTTAATGCCCCCGAGAACAGCCTTCCCTATTAAATTTATCACAAGAAATACAGATTAAATAAGGAAAAATTATCAGGAAATAAATCCCTGGTATGTAGTTTGTTTGAAAACCAGAAGAATCCAAAGAAAAGTTCAAATTTCAATCCAATGTGAGTAGTTCAAATCGAAAATAATGATCAGACAATGAAAATCGTATAAAATTTTGATTTAAAAAAAAACGTGAAAACTCACCTTAAAAGAAAATTTTAAAATACTCGCGATAATTGATCGTTTCTATTATCTCAAACATGGAGAAGTGACAAATTATAAAAGAAAATAAATAATAAAACAAATCAAAGGGGTACAGCATGTTGGAATAATAACTAGTTGCAGTAATGTTCAGAATAATAAAATGCAGAAATATAAGACTTATCGTCTGATCGAGTCTCGTGATAGCACGATATCCTAAAGTGAAATTGCCCGTCGATAATTACTGTGACCTCCGTGGACAATCACTCTCAAGATACAATGATCGTTAACCACTTGTGCAGCAATCACAAATGATTTTTTCAGAACTCTCAGTTGTACTCCAAAATATATGTAAAAACCCGAGTATAAGAAAATCAGAATATGAAAATGAAGTATTGATACAAGAGAATTTTTCTATTTTCTTTTTGTGTGAATTTTTTCCAAAACGAGATATGGGTTTATATAGGCAGGATATAAGTAACAGTCTCCAACATGATCAGAGATTGATATAGAATTTTAATGACTGAATAGTAGGTATTTTAATGACTGTTAGTGAGTTTTTACAAAAACAAACAGTCGGAAAATACTGACTCGTTTTACCCATTAAATAATAATAAAAAAATTATTTTAGTCAAAGAAGCCCAAGAGCCCAAAGCCCCAATCAAAATATTTTAATATTTGCCTGGGGAGTGATTCGAACCCTGACGTCCCATACAAATGCCACATTTCCCACCACTTTGGCACTTTACCTAATTTAATTATTTCTTTCACATTTTATTTTTATACCATAAATATATAACAATCCCCTACATGAAAGAAATAAGATAAATGAAAATATTACTCTGGAGTACGGTAGAAATCATGCAGGTTTAGGTGTCTATCGACTTGAACATTGACTTTGTATATTCTATCGAGCTTACTAATTCTAGAGTGAACTATGTCTTGAACTCTACAATTATAGTTGCAAACTGAGACAATAGAACACACACACGATTTCTAGAACAGTGATTGAGTTCTCGCGGTTGTGTTCATTTCGGTCGTGAACTTTCCCAGTTTCTTTGAGTGCTCTAGAGAATTCGCCTCAATTCTCATAAGAAGCGGCCCCACTTCCACACTCAAATATGTGCTACTATCAAGGATGCACTGTATCTAAACACTCCACTGAATATCAGCTATAGTAAGCATTAAGAGCATTAGCTCATCCTCTAATCAATACAGTTGGTACTACGCATCATAGGGAGGGGTTTGGAATAAATCCAATGTAGTACCCCCACAGACTACTCCAATAACTTTGTTGTCCCATTGAACCTTGACCATGGGATCTCCAATTGCAAGGTTGGGTTTCCATTATAAGTGATCTAATAAGTAATAGGCTTTAGCCCCATCCCCCTCGATGTTTGTTGAATTAGCTCTCTAGCCAATCCTTTGGTTAATGGGTCAGCAATGTTATCACTTGACTTCACATAGTCAATAGCCATAATCCCATCCTTAAGCAGCTGACGCACAGTATTGTGCCTCCTACGAATATGTCTAGACTTTCCATTGTAGGATGAATTTTGAGCTCTTGAAATAGTTGTTTGACTGTCACAATATATTGAAATAGTTGGAAATGGTTTGGACCACAAAGGAACATCCATAAGAAAATTCCTTAACCATTCAGCCTCCTCACCTGCCTTATCTAAAGCTATGAACTCAGATTTCATAGTAGATCTAGCAATGCATGTTTGCTTAGTGGATTTCCAGGAGACAGCACCGCCTACTAATGTAAATACATATCCACTTGTAGATTTACTTTCATTGGTATCGAAAATCCAATTAGCATCACAATATCCCTCAAGTATAGCAGGGAACCAGTCTAGAGTGTATCTCAAATACCTCAAGACTCGAATGAGAGCATCCCAATGTTCACTGTTAGGATTACTAGTATACCTGCTAAGTTTACTGACATCATATGCTATATCAAGTCTTGTACAGTTCATGAGATACATGAGACTGCCGATTACTTTAGCATACTCTAAAGCGGAAACACTAGGACCTGAATGTTTTTTCAAATGACGGCTTGCATCATAAGGTGTTTTAGCAGGAATACAGTTGTATTGATTAAACTTCTTAAGCACCTTTTCTACATAATGTGATTGGGTCAAAATAATTCCTTCAAAATGTTTTACTATTTTGATTTCTAGAATAATATCAGCAACACCCAAATCTTTCATTTCGAAGTGCTTGTTCAGAAACTATTTAGTTTTATTAACCACATCTAAACTAGTTCCCATAATCAGCATATCATCAACATATAAGCAAATTATCACACCACAATTATTTTCAAATTTGCTATATATGCATTTATCTGCTTCATTTATCACATATCCACTTGATGTCAAAACTGTATCAAATTTTTCGTGCCATTGCTTAGGAGCTTGTTTAAGGCCATAAATGGATTTTTTAAGTCTACATACTTTATCCTCAAGGCCTTCTACAACAAATCCTTCAGGCTGATCCATATAAATCTCCTCTTCTAAGTCTTCATTTAAAAATACAGTCTTGACATCCATTTAATGTATAATAAATAAGATCATACAGTGAGGCAATTGCAATTAACATCCTAATAGAGGTAATCCTAGTAACGGGTGAATAAATATCAAAGAAGTCAACTCCTTTTTGTTTATAGCCTTTAACTACAAGTCTTGCTTTATATTTATCAATTGAACCATCAGGTTTAAGTTTTTTTATTAAACAACCATTTATACCCAATTGTCTTACATTCTTGAGGTAAGTCCACTAACTTCCAAGTATTATTAGACACAATTGAATCATATTCACTATTTACAGCTTCCTTCCAAAATATAGAATCTGGTGAAAACATAGCTTCACCAAAAGTACTAGGATCATCCTCTACTAAGTAGGTTATAAAGTCAGGTCCTAGGTCTTTTGCTTCTCCTCATTTCAGCTTCTTCTAATTCAGATGGCTTCTCTCTAACACTAGGAGGAATACTAAAAGAACTGTTTGGTCCTTCAGACCTTTCTTTAAACGAAAATCTATTTTCAAAAAATTCAGCATCTCTAGTTTCAACTATTGTGTTCTTTTCAATTAAATTATTTTTTAGAGTCAATAACTAAAAATCTGGAGGCATTCCTATGAAAAGCATAGCCTATAAAAACACAATCAACAGTTTTCGGACCAAGTTTAGTTCTCTTAGGTGTTGGAATAGAAGTTTTAGTTAAACACCCCCACACTTAAGGTATTTATATGAAGGTGTTCTATCCTTCCATATTTTATAAGGAGATTTATTATTTTTCTTACTAGGAATTCTGTTAAGAATATAACATGCAGTAAGAAGTGTTTCCCCCCACATGTTAAAAGGTAATTCAGAAGAGCTTAGCATTGTATGACCATATCCTTAAGTGTTCCATTTTTCCTTTCAACTACACCATTAGATTGAAGAGAATAAGGTGGAGTAGTCTCATGAATAATGCCATTCTCAATACAAAATTTATCAAAATCTCATGTATAATTTATCAAAATCTCCTATATATTCTCCTTCCCTATCAGATCTTAAAATTTTAATGATTTTGTCTAGCTGATTTTCTACTTCAGTTTTATATAAAATAAATTTTGAATAGCTTTCATCCTTACTCTTAAGTAGATAAATATAACAATATCGAGAATAATCATCAATGAAAGTTACGAAATATTTATTTTCACCACGAGTAACATATCCTTTTAAGTCACATAAATTAGAATGTATCAAACTTAAAACCGAAGTAGTCCTATCAACACGTGAAAATGGTTTTCTAGAATATTTAGATTCAACACACGTTTCACATTCTGAATTTGAACAATCATCGATTTTAGGAATGTTTCCCAAAGTCATTAATTTTTTAATGGAAGTTTTATTAACATGTCCAAGTCTAGTATGCCACAAATTATAAGAATCCAACAAGTAAACGAAAGAGATAGATGCTTTATTATTAATCACAGAGATATTGAGTTTAAACAGACTCTCATCTGCATACCCTTTCCCAACAAAGGAACCGCCCTTAGACAGTACAATTTGACCACTTTCAAATACAATCTTAAAACCCTTTTTGACTAAAATAGATCAAGACACTAGATTTTTCCTAATATCAGGTACATAAAGGACATCCTTCAAATTAAGAATATTTCCAGAAGTAATCTAAGCATCACATTTCCTTTCCCCTCGATTTTGGAGGAGGAAGCATTCCCCATGAACAAACATTCTCCATCACTAGCGGGAGTGAATGAAGAGAATGCACATCTTGTGCAGAAAATATGCTTGGTAGCTCCAGAATCTACCCACCAGTCTATCATGTTGCTTACTAGATTCACTTTTGTCACCATAGCAGAGAAATTCCCATCCTCTACCACATGTGCCTGATGCTTCACAGCTTTTCCTTTCCTATTTCTGCAATCCTATGCAAGGTGATCTGGTTTACCACAAATAAAACAGTCACCATAAATTTTATTCTTAAACTGGGGTTTAGACCGATTGTTCTTTCCTACAAATTGCTTTCCCTTATTTCTACCTTTAAAATTCTGACCCCTTATAAAATTTTCAACTGATTTCTTATTTCCAGAACTTCCTTCAGTAAGATTAGCCTTGGTATCAACGTCTGGCCTTTCTTTACGTTTTGCCATTCTCTTGTCCTCTTCAATTCTAATCTTAATAATCAAATCCTCTAAAAATATTTCTTTTCTCTTATACTTCAAACTATTTTTATACTCTTTTCAAGAAGGTGGCAATTTTTCAATTATAGTTGACACTTGAAAGCCCTCACAGATTTTATATCCTTCAGCAATAATTTCATGAATTATAATCTGCAATTCTTCAACTTGACAGACCACAGTTTTAACATAATTCATTTTAAAATCTAAAAACTTTCCCACAATAAATTTCTTGGTTCCAGCATCTTCTGTAACATATTTATTTTCTAATGAATTCCATAACTCTTTTGCAGATTTACACGAGTAGTAAACATCATATAGATCTAACATCAAACAATTCAGAATATAATTCTTGCACATATAATCCTTATGTTCCCAATTAGCTAAATCCTCTGTTTCCTTATCAGTAGGATTATCAACAATTGCAACAACGGGTTTATCTGATTCAATAGCATCAACGACTTTAAGTGTTGGCAAATGAAAGAAGAACTTTTACTATTATTCATTTTTAATAAACGAATTTTTTTAAATTCTTTTGGAACCCCCTTTTCCCCATAGAGATATTGAATAGAAAGGGGTATTTTGTTTGCCACTGTACTTTTGAGGTGCCAAACCTTCCCGTCGATGTGAGCTCTTGGGGAAGATCAGCCTGTTATCCCTAGAGTAACTTTTATCCATTGAGCGACGGCCCTTCCACTCGGCACCGTCGGCTCCCATTTCGAGTCAAGAGATATATAAATAGACACATCCCATTGCACTGATCGGGGGCGTTCGTAGTGACTGAGGGGGTCGAAGACCAAGAAGTGAGTTATTTATACCAAGCCTTGACCCCTGTTATATTGAAGTCATATCTAGTATTCAGAGTTTGCCTCGATTTGGTATCAAATAAAATCGCAGTTTCATTTACCATCTCTTGAAATTCTTTCCATAAAATAACTCAGACTTTTCAGAATACTTAGGAACAGATATATCTACGGCAGACATGGCAACTAATTATAAAGATAATTTCACTTTAGATTGTTGGAATAATAACTAGTTGCAGTAATGTTCAGAATAATAAAATGCAGAAATATAAGGCTTATTGTCTGATCGAGTCTCGTGATAGCAAAATGTCTTAAAGTGAAATTGCCCGTCGATAATTGTTGTGACCTCCGTGGACAATCACTCCTAGGATACAACGATCGTAAACCACTTGTGCAGCAATCACGAATGATTTTTCCAAAACTCTCAGTTTACTCCAGAATATATGTAAAAATCCGAGTATAAGAAAATCAGAATATGAAAATGAAGAATTGATACAAGAGGATTTTTCTATTTTCTTTTTGTGTTTATTTTTTCCAAAACGAAATATGGGTTTATATAGGCAGGATAGAAGTAACAGTCTCCACCATGATCAGAGATTAATTCAGAATTTTAATGATTGAGTAGTGGGTATTTTAATGACTGTTAGTAGGTTGTTATAAAAACAAACAGTCAGAAAATACTGGCTAGTTTTGCCCATTATATAATAATAATAAAATATTTATTTTAGTCAAGGAAACCCAAGAGCTCAAGGCCCCAATTAAAACATTTTAATATCTGCGTGGGGAGTGATTCGAACCCCTGACATCCTACACAAATAACACATTTCCCACCACTTTGACACTTTATCTAATTTGATTATTTCTTTCACATTTTATTTTTATACCATAAATATATAACAATACAATCAAAGATCAAGAAATTACAAATCAAGATAAACAACTAAAATCCCAAAATATCAGAAGCCCAGAAATACAAAGAATCAGATCATATATTAGGCAAGAAAAATTTAATGTGTGAGAGGTTTTGGATAATTATATGCGTATCCTCCAATTATGTTTAAAATACCTCTGTTTTCCTGTTGATTCATCAGTCTTGAAGCCATTACAAAACCTTGGAAATCTTCTTTAAATCCTTTCTTCTTTGCCTCTCCCGAAGGATATTCTTCAATTCCCTCTCTCCCTCTCTCTGTGAAAAATACTGGAATTCTGATTATTGTGCTCTTGATCAATATTTTAAAAACCATCTCGACATTGATGAACATAAAGTGCTTGTTTAATAGAGATTTTGATAATTAGTTTTTTGACCGCTAAAGATAAAGTGGGTAATATCCGTGAGGGAAAAATTCAAAAATAATGACTGGAATAGTGAAATAACAGTAAAAAAAAATTAATTTTAATTGGCTTAAAGTCTAAACCAAACAAGCTCAAAGATTCAAAGGTTGAATCGCAATTGAATGAAAACATTCTCAACTTCGATGAAAAGATAAGGTAGTAGTTGGTTTGTATTTTCATTTTCCATTTTCATTTTCAAAACGATTTTTAGTTTTCCCCCGAAAACGGCCTATTTTCCGCATTTTGAGCGTTTCGATATTTATAACTGAAAACGTTGAAAATGATAAAAAGTCGTTTTGCGTTTAACGACGAACCTAACACGTTTTCCACGTTTTTGAAAACGAAAAATGAAAAATGGGCTGAAAACGACAAACCAACCACGACCTAAAGTTTTGAAAGTTGAATCGGTAAAAAATATCAAAATATAAAATAAAACAAAATTTATAATGCATTAGTGGGTTTACAAGGAAATTGGTTCTCGTGTGAATCGGTAGACTCTTAGCACTATTTGATATTTTTAACTTTTTTTTTTTCCCCAATTTTTTTTACATATATTTTGATTGAACAGGTTTAGTTTTCGCAGTATTAATATTTACAACTACTAGCAAATCGCCAATGGACACCATCAGGTGAAAAATGGTAAAACCATGCCTAGAACAGATGCAACTTGTTTGACACTCGAAACATTTCACTGCAATCTTTACAATAAGATATCATCGTCTGGACCAGCAAGCAAGACCTGTCAAAATGAGCCCTTCTGTTAAAATAAGTTATTTTCTTTACTAGTAAGAAAAAGTAACACATCCAGAAACAATAAATATTCATAAAAATAAGTTTTAAGTTACTTTTAAACTTAGCCAGTCTCCGAAAAACTAGATGTTTTCAGGTGAGTGGGAGAGTATACATTATTATGGTAGCTAAAATTAAAGAAGCAAAACTAACTCACGTTGCAGTCGAGTGCATTCTTCCTGGTAAGAATAAGGGCTCCATTTCTTTCCCGTTCGGATTCAAAAACTAGAACGAAGGAATATCCTTTTCTAGCTTGCCAAAATATTGACTTTGCTGCAAAGTTGCCTCCTCCTCTGAATCCACATAGCTGAGACAAATATCCCCAAAACCAGGTTGTTATTGCATTTCTTCTACGTATAGCAAAAATTCCAAAAAGAATACAAATTCAGGTTGTCTGAATCACTGAACAGAATAGCAAATCTTTGTGAAAACAATCCAAGAATTGTGACACCCAAATATTTGTGAATAACTTATCCCATCGACTGCAGATTGAAGTATATTCGGCACTTGTACTTTTGTATTAGGTCTCCATAGTTCCTACTTCTGTGAGTGGGCGAAAGAGATAGATAAAGGGTGTCAGGTCTCCCATTGTAATACTTCTTCATGGTTATAGTAAAAATTTTTAGGAACGAGTGGATGTAGCCCTCACATTGAAGGTGAAACAGTACAGATATATGTTTTCTTATTCGTTCCTCATTTTCTTTTCTCATTTTATTGTTGCTCTTGGAGTGATGAGTCTGCGGTATGGAGAGTAAAATGTTATTCATTGATACCTGCATAGACCCAGAGTACGACTCTCTGGCCTTCGTCATCCATCCTTTACTGAGCTTTATCCTAGTTTTGCTGACGTGAAATAAGTGCACTGAATGCGACGAATAATTCCGTCCATTCATCTGGAAGATAACCACCTGCAACACAAAATATGCTAGGATTACATCAACACGAACTATTTTCAAGCTTGGTTTTCCATTAAGTAGCGCGATTCCAATTCCAACCTCTGTTTTGTCCAATTTTTGTTATAAAAAATTGGTATAAAATTCAGAACAAATGATGAATCACATACATTGAAGTCATTGTTTGGCTTTTGTAAAATAGTCTCCACATAGCACCCCAAGTCAGCAGCTGTCAAAAAGAAACATCAATTAGACAGTTTTCAATTTATTCTTAGGATTAAGAAGAACAATGCTAAAACTAGCATAAAAAGCTACACTTCACTTGGAAACAATCACATCGGGAACTTCTCTATTCAAACTGATTCTCTATTTTGATACTTGTATAGATATTGTAATTTATGAACCTTGATCTATAGGACCTGAAGTTGTTACTGAGACCTTTTGGCCATTTGAAACAATATCAACCTGAAGAACTCGTCCAACGTCGATGGGCTCTGGAGCATAAACAAACTTGTTGGCACCTGGCACAGCAAATTGCGTATATGCCGAGATCAAAACGTATGAAGAAGACTGTAACAGAAGACAACATATAGTGGCGAATAGAAATTGAAAGTAGGAAACAAGAAAGAGAGAAAACCAAAAGAAAAGGATCTCAAGTGGAACGGTAATTTAAGCAAATAAATATATAGCTCTATTTATGCCTAGTTGTAATCATTGGAATTCTGAAAAACAAATAATTAGATTAAACTGTAAGCTCCAAAAGGAAGAATCGATACCTGAAACAGGTTCCCTGCGGCTGCACTGAGAAGACAAACGATACCATTGAATCGAACATTTTGAAAGCTCAGTTGCTTCATCCGAGCAGGACTGAATTCTTAAAGTTGAACCTAGTATTTTAGAACCAATTAACTGATACAACGGGGATTTGTTTTCCTCAATTCTCTTGCTCAGTGCCAACTGTAGATGATGAGGACAAAAATCTTGGATACAGCTGAACAAGTTAAACTGTAAATGTCCTACATATGCTTGTCACTGTAAGAATTGAGTGACTCTCTTAGGAAGAGATGGTTTTGGACAAATTGGTTATAAAAACTGAGAGCCAAATGAAACACAAGTC